CTGGCCAGTGGTTGAACTCGTCGACGTCGTGCCTGGCGCCGAGGAGCGGCTGGCTCTCCCTGTTGCTCCTCGGGGAACCCATGCCCGTGTGGCTGGCGGCGGCAGAGGACGACGAGGCGGGCCCGAAGGCCACGTCGGGGAGAAGCGCTGAGGTGGAGTCCTCCGAGGCCTCCGAGGCCGTGGAGAAGGACCGGACCCTCTCTTCCACCGCCGAGGCCGCGAGTGAGGTCGTGGCGGGGGCGGGGGCGGCGGCTGGAGGCGGCGAGGGAGGAGGTCGAGCTGGAGGTCCGGCCAGGCTCTGCTCTGCGTCCGACTTCATGGACGCTCTTTTGCCTTCTCTCGCCCCTCTTTCTCTCACTCCTCTTAGTTCTTCCTTTCTCTCTCTCGTCAGCCCTTCGCAGAGGGTTGAGGGGGTTAGAAGAAGCACTCTAAATCATCATAAGCAGGGGCTTTCTCTCCTCCGGGATCAGCTGTCGCAGCACCAAAACAAAACAAGACTCGCCATGACACCAGCGATGACGTCACGGAAGCAAGTGACGAGCGGGATGCGCAACTGGGAAGGCTTAATAGATTTCCGCTTTCCCTGTTCAATCTGTCTCTTTAACACTATCTTCTTCTGTTTTCTTCGATTACGATGTTTTTTCTCCCTTACGTCTTGCAACTGTTGTTTTAGAAAGAATTCATCCGCTTTTCTCAATCCTACTTCGCAATTATATATTTTTTTTACACTACCCACTTCTTTTTCATCTTTGTTCTTTTACTTCACACAGTAATCGTACAATCCTATTTTCCTTCTGATGTAATGTCCCTCCCTACAGAGGACGACGAGTGATGAAACAGCACAAGAGCGTATTACTCATACCGAACCACACAATAAAAAAATAAGTATCTCGAAGTCACATGATTCTCCACACACATTCTTCCTTCGCATTCAATGGTCTCCAATGTCGTCCGTGCCACATGTCACTCTCATTATCTACCGAACACCTTCTTTGTCATGGACGGCTCTTAAAACGCTCCTGCTTCTACACGCCCAGGACGTGGCTTGCTGATCGGCGCGGGGGTAAATTCTCTCTCCCCTCTCTCACATGACGAGACGTGTGCGTATGTACGTGTAGATACGTACATGTGTGCGTGTGTGCTTGTCTATGTGGTTGGTAACTAATCCCCTTCTCTTTCCCATGCGCTCACATGTTATATTTCAGGGAGGTAAGGAAAGTGATTTTTGAAGAGGAAACAGACTGATATAAATTAGACAGTTGGATGTCCAAGTAAGCAACATCAGCTATTATATATATACAGTAAAAAAGAGAGAACATGTACGAATTGTACGATAATAAACGAAAATGAGAACGAAAAATTGTGGGATTTGTGATACTTGACGCGAGAACACGTGACTGAAACTCCCTGCTAGAAGGGCACAAAATATATATTCTCTCTCTCTCTCTCTCTCTCTCTCTCTCTCTCTCTCTCTCTCTCTCTCTATATATATATATATATATATATATATATATATATATATATATATATATATAATGCTTTGACTTCATAATAGTTATTCTGAAGATTTTCTTAAATTTTCTTCTCTCTTTCTTCCATTCTTTTAAACCTTCTCTCCTGTTATTGTTTATTCTCCTTCTCAGCTCTCTTCTATAAACTTCAGCACATATTTACTTCTTTCACATATTTGCTTCTTTTTTACTTTATTTTCTTATAGTTTTCATCTTCGTTCTTCATAACTCCTTCCTATTCCTATTCACAATCTTATTTTCAATCCTATTCCTCCCCTCCGCCTCCCCCCCTCCCCCCCCTCCTCTAAAAAATATATCCTCACTAAAATTCCTTCAAAGAACCAAAGTGGAAGCAAAAGAGATGCGTAGGACTCCGTGATCCACTTCAAGGTGACACTCGAGAGAGGAGGAGGAGGAGGAGGAGGAGGAGGAGGAGGAGGAGGAGGTGAAGGAGGAGGAGGAGGAGGAGGAGGAGGAGGAGGAGGAGGAGGAGGAGGAGGAGGAGGAGGAGGAGGCGGAGGAGGAGGGGGGGGGAAGAGGAGGAGGTGAAGGAGTAGGATGAGGTGGAGGAGGATGAGGTGAAGGAGGTGAAGGAGGATGAGGATGAGGAGGAGGTGGTGAAGGAGGAGAAGGAGGAGATAGAGGAAGAGGAGGAGGAGGAGGAGGAGGAGGAGGAGGAGGAGGAGGAGGAGGTGGAGGAGGAAGAAGAGGAGGAGGAGGAGAACCAGAAGAAAAAAGAAGCGGCAGCACCAGCTGAAGAAAAAGATAAAGAATCAGGAGGAGGAGAGGAAAAATGGGACTGTAGAGAGGGAAGAGTAAAAGGGAAAAGAAACGGAAGAAAGGAAGATGGGGTGCAAAATGAGAGCGAGATAGATAAATGAATAGAGAGAGAGGGGGGGCAAGAGAAGAGACGAGTTGAGAAGAACAGGGGGGGAGGAAAATGAGGGGTGTGGAGACGGAGGGGGGAAGGGAGGAAAGAGGAAGCATGACACAGCCTCGTCACGGCATGGCTGGTCCGCGAGATACACAGACATATCAGTGAGATGGATATCTTAACTCCCGCCGATAAACTATCACGGCTGCGCCATCGGGTGTTTGTGGGGAATAGAGACCGGAGGGGATGATCTCGGAATGGAGAGAGGGGAGGGAGGGCGAGAGGGGGGGAGAGGGGAGGGAAGGCGAGAGGGGGGGGGGAGGGCGAGAGGGGGGGAGAGGGGAGGGAAGGCGAGAGGGGGGGGGAGGGCGAGAGGGGAGGGAGAGCAAGAGGGTAGGCAAAGCGAGAGGGGAGGGAGGGAGGGAAAGAGCGAGACCGAAAGAGAGCGCGAGAGAGAGTGAGTTCATAGCCTGGCTCCTAATCTTATCTATCTCAACAACGCCAGAAACAGACTTCATTTCCTGACTGAAATTTTCAGGCAGCAAGAACGCCCCAGTCGTCATTTATTATACAATCTGATTATCAATTCATAACTAAATCAACACCACAAACTCGCACTTATATGATTCAAGCCACCAAACCCTAGCAGTTAAAAACGAAAATGCATGGTACTGACTAATATAAACGGGATCATGGATACAATATCAAAATAACAAATAACGATGCGAATAAAGGTCTACGAACGTATAAAGAAGGGAAGTGTATCCGGCAGATGTTATGAATGTACTTATCTCCACCTGGCTTAGCCACGGTCAGGTCAGCTCGGACCTCCACATGTCTGAAATGAAGCTGCGGTCTCTTTGTTGCGACTTCCTTCTCTCGCTCTTTCTCTCGCTCTTATTCTTCTTTCTTTATTTCTGTCTCTCACTCTCTCTCTCTTACACACACACTCTCTCTCTCTCTCACACACACACACACACACACTCATTCTCACTCTCACTCTCACACGCACACACACACGCACACAGAGTCCTACAGATCTGACCTGACCCTTTACAAAACCCAGATATTGATTTTCTTGCCAAAAGATTTTCCATTTCCGGGATGAAACAGAGAAAGATGGATTTGTATGTATGCATGTGTATTTGTGTATATATGTATGCATGTATGCATGTATATATGTATATATGTATATATGTATATATGTATATATGTATATATGTATATATATATATATATATATAGAGAGAGAGAGAGAGAGAGAGAGAGAGAGAGAGAGAGAGGGGGGGGTAGAAAAAGAGAGACAGAGAGAGGGGGAGGGGGGTAGAAAAAGAGAGAGAGAGAGAGGGAGAGAGAGAGAGAGGGAAAGAGAGACAGAGATAGAGAAAGGAAGAAATAAGTAGAAATAATTAAAAAGCAGTCAACTTGCGAAAACGAAGAGAAAACGCGCCCTTTTTCTCGCGAGGTCGAGCAAAAACGACGCAATGAAAGCGGCAATTATTCTCGATGAAGTGCAACCAATTCGTCTCCATTAGAGCGACTAATTAAATTGTCATTTTCACTTCCACAAATACTCATCAGTATTATTGATGCATAAATTAAGAGATTGTATGTTGCACTGTCAATAACCGTCAAGCGCAAAAAAACATTACTCAATAAATCGTTGCTGGCATCACTATCCAACAAAAGTGATGATGATGTAAATCACAGACCACAAACTACAGAATTTTGCCATAGCTTGTTGCAAAGACAAAAGGTTCTCGCATCTGCTCCAAGTACCATTTCCCAACGTCACTTCCAACACCACAGTTACGTGACGTATTGTCTCACGTGACTGGCAAAGTGCATGACGTCACGCATCTCTCCTTCCCACGGTCGTGATTCATCCTCCCTCAGTATTACATGGCTGTCCGTTTTCTATGAAATCGGAGCGGTCTTCGCTAAGTCACGTTTTCTGTAGCGGTGGAGGGGGTCTAGTGTAATTTTCTCTTCACTCGCCTTTGTTTCTTAGTGCTCATCTCCCCCTCTTTGGCTTCAGCATTTATCTTTATATTTTTTCTCTATAGTCCATACGACTTTCCCAACGATATCGATTTAATAAGTTTTTTTTAGCTTTACAATTTGTGTACAACTCCCTCCCTCCCTCCCTCCCTCCTTCCTTCTCCCCCTCTCTCTCTCACACACACACATATAATGATGATGATAATAATACTAATACTAATAATAACAATAATAAAAAATATCAATAATAATGATCATGATAATAATAATAAAACAGAACATTTATTAATCATAACCATAATAGTAATAACAAAAACAACATCACTCTGCTCGCGTCCGACTGCCCCTCCTTATTTTCTCTTCGAGCGAAGGATAATTAAACGACAAGCACCCGGGAGGGGTCACTGTCTCAAAACAAATAACTGGATAAAAAATAAAAATAAATTGTTAAAAGCAGCAACAGGAACAAGAAAAAAAACGAATCGGAAAGGGTAGGTCGGAGGCGGAGGCGTCGCATTTTGCAAAACCTTCAGGGGCTTCTTTCCTCGCTCGTGTTTCCCGGGTCACGTGATCCCTGGAAAGGGGGCTGGGGGCCGGGGGGGGGAGGGTCGAAA